ATAACAGATAGATTATTAATAGAGTACATAAACATACGAGCGCCCTGAAACGACATACTCTTGTATCGTAACTTGCAGCTTTTGGATTGGTGAACACAATTTTTAAAATTTACCAACAACCTTTTTACGGATAGGCGATTTGGAAAAAAAAATGATTGTCTTAAATTCTGAACTCAACTCTCAACTATACTTAAATAACATTATAATCTATGTAAAGACGTGATTCTAAACAGTAAATATATATTTTTAGTAACGAAAGTCGATATAATTCATAGGTTATATTATTGTCTTATTTGTTTTCCCTAAGTATATATTTAACACCTTTGTGTCAAAATAGACATAAAGCGAGTATCAGTATTAACATATTATATACGCCGCGTTTCTGATATCCGAATAGATTAAATCACATGCAATAGGTAATGATTCGTTAAACATGCGATCACAGTGCAGTTATAAAATTAGCGATAATTAATTTAATTTAAATTTTAAATTACTTTGTAGGTATTGGACTTAATCAGTTCATTGTTCTTTTTTCATAATATGATAGCGTCGTTCTTTTTTGTATATTTTAATTAAATAGTTATCCTAATACCGTATTATGTAATAAACCATACATTATGAATATTTATTTAATGAAAAAAAGTTAATTCGAAAAACGTTTGAGACTATGAGACTATAATAGTAGACGCAGCAGTGTATTGTGAATAGATAAATGAAACGTTCGATTTGTTAATTTTGAGAAGAGTTTCTACAAATCGAATACCTAACACAAAATAGAGACATTTTTGAAGAAAGTATGAGTTAAATATAAATTATTTGAAAATCGTTTGTACGTATAACTATTAAAGGTAAAGGTGGTTTTTGTAGGTCTATATTATTGACGATCTGTATACATCAAAATTACACATGTTTTGACCACCGTAATGAAAGTTATTCCACAAATTTTGATAAAAATTTTGAAAACCTATTTTATTTATCTACAATTTCACTTTACAATGACTTTTTTGCTTATCTATTTAAGACTTAAGTAAACATAAAATGATGTAATATATTTATTTCTTCATATGTGATTACTGATTTGAGATATGTTTGTAATATGTCTTTAATGAAATATGTGCCCAAATAAAATTATGCTCTATTGATAGACTTCTAGGGCTTCAATTGATCAATAATTTGCTTTTTTCAAACGAACATTAGAAATCTAAAAACGTAAGAAAATTGTGGGACTAAATAATACAACGAATCCTACATAAGAAAAATCATCTGTTTTTCGTAATAGAGCTATTCAGTTTGATTATGAATGATTCTGTTGAGCAATGTATATATTTTCATATGATACTATTTATGTAATATGATGGTATAAATTTAAATTTATAATTATTTACAGTCAAAAATAATAAAATTAGACGTTTAAGTCATGATCGTAATTTAATATAAAAAAAATTGCGGTATAATGCGAGACTAGTTCACATTTATCATATTGCTGAGAATACTACAAAAATCCATCCATAAATATTTCGTTAAAAGTCATATAACATCTAAAATATTTTATTTCTCTGTACTTATTAAATAATAATAAAATTAAAATAAAGTAATGCAAAATGATTATAGAAGACACACAAAATTTGAATTTGACCTCGGTACCGAATACTGAATTAGTTTTACTCGGCCGATTTGCTAAAACTTAAAAGTCGTTTCCGGAAAGCTATTTAAATTACACGCGCATTATTTTTATTTAGATTATTTATGCTTATACATATTATTAATACGTGAGAATAGATTTTGAACGCATACAATCATTTGCGGTGATATTCGATAGCTATTTCAAACAGTTTTACAAATATTGCTTTAATCATTTTGAGAAATCCAAAGTTCAAATGTATAATGTACCTAAATTTTTCTCATCCATATATGAAGTGTAAGAATCTCATTAATATTGTTTTTAAACAGTTTCGATTCTATCGGCCATCTGGACGCAACTAATCGGTCTCAACCGATAAATATTATCGATATATCTACTGCGTATTCTCGTGTATTTTAATTCACCACCATATTTATGAATTTGGATGTCTAACGATTACAATATTATAATTGATTATGTATATTAAGATGTATATTACGATGTTTATGTGCGTATTTTTTTTTAACACCACTTCAGCGATGAATCAATTCTTCTATCACCTGTGTATGGTAATTAGTAATATAGAATACACTCAATGATAAAAATTGTTAAAAAAGTACCGAAACTAAGCACAAATTGTTGAGTTAAATATGTGTGATGGTGGCCCTATTTAATCGCACACTTATCACGTGTAGGTACAAGTTATTAATATTTACTAATATCACCTATTTTAAATACAGAGTGATCCACCAAGAGTGGCCAGCCGTTTTTTCTTCTTCAATAATGCAGTTATTCAAAATCTGATTTTTTCATTTTTAAAAATACTTTAAGACCATATTTTTAAATTCTTGAGATCTTTTGTACTACTTACAACATTTCAATAATCGAGCAACGAGACTCATTCGAATTTTGAATGTGGTACATCAAAATTTTCAAACACAATTATCCACTAATTAATTGACAGCAAAATAGCGGGTTCTCATTTGAAAAACAGAAGTTTGTATCACCACTGGATACTCCAAGTAGTACGAAAAAGTTTAAAAATTTTGAAAATATGGTCTTTGAGTATATTTAAAGATTCCAAAATCAGAATTTGAACAAATTCATTACCATAGAAAAACTTGGGGGTGTGCATGCTCAGTGAATCACCCTGTATATTATCCACATAAAATGTGATATTGTACAGTGTCTATCTGTATAAAAGGTGCATATATTTAAATACGTTCGTTTTAATTACATTTCGAGAAGGTTATGAGGTATGAAGGTATTGAAATATGAATACTATTTTAGCAGCAGATATTGGATAGCTCCGGGTACTCATATATTTCCATTCACCGATCACTAAGTAAATATACACTAGGACGAATGTTATACCTATACTGAAAACTGTTTTGGGACTAAAATAATATATTTTCAACAAATTTAGTGAATAATTAAGACAGGTTTTTACATTATGATAATTAGGTATAGTGTTTAATGCCGGAGCTTGAAATGAGTAAAAAAATATCCGCTATGTGTTTTTTTACATGTTTTCATTTTCTATCTATGTTTTTATTATTTTAATCGTTATTTTTTATTTTGAGTTATATAATTGCGCGATAGTGACGTAGGAATCCATTTGTATGTTAATTAGTAGGATTACTTAATTTTTATTTTTCTTCAAACAATTATGCAATATTGTAAGCTGCGAGAAGAAAATGTAATTATATTTGAGTAACATATTATATTTAATTTTTCTAATTGATTAAATTAATTACCTATACTGTAAAACAAAGTATTTCAAAGTATAAAATAACAATATTATGTAATGTCTATCTTTGAACCATATACAGATATAGGTAATAGATATCGCATAATGTCGATCGTGCTCTCGCAGTTTTTATATTGATCGTGTGTTGCATGTATAATCGATTTCAATCAATTTTTTCTGTTGGAAATAAAATTAGTGATGAAAAGTGTACACATAAAAAGGTGTATTGAATAACATTGTCGTTTTTATGCCCATTCACGCCCAGTCATGAAACACTGCGTCAGTGCGACTTAGGTACAATTAAGCTAATTAATACTGACTAAAACGATTTTTCTATCGAAACCATGTCGGTAATAATAAATATAAAAATAAAGTAAATAAAGCTTACATATACATTTGCGAAAGCAACTAAATTCTCAAATAAAAAAATAAATATGATAGATGAAATTATACAGATATTGTAATGAAGTGTACCCATATCATAAAAAATAAAACACAAATATATTTTTCATTCTTTGTACAATGATCTGATTAGACCCAGCATTTCGAATCAAACACATTTGACAATTTGAAAGACTTAGTTTCGTTCATTTTTCTTAGTAGGATTCCGTCAATTTTTCATTAAAACAATTAGTAATTCGAAATGTATTACAAGTTTAGGTACTATTAGTCCGTAGATTAGTTTTAAGGTTTATACCTATACTTATATTAAAGCTTTGCAATAAAACGTAATAAACCAAACATTGCACAAATTCTACCTACAAGAAATGGGTGTTTGAATAATCTATTAATGTTTCAAATTTTCAATAAGCCATAGGTAATAAAAATATGGTGGGATTGTCGGCGGTAATATATGAATAATATTATATCGGTAATAATTTATTGCGGTTAAACTTAAAACCATTGGCTCGGGGGCTCCTACGTCACTGCGGATGGCTAAGTTTGAATTAGTTCTTCGTATTTTATGTGACAGAAACATTGGTTTCCGTATTTTTGTATTCGTTAATCGTTATCATTTTTAATTCGTATATTTTATTGAAATTATAAAATATTATTAAAATTTATGAAAATCGAATAGGGTGCACAGTCATAATTATTTTTAACTAAATGTGAAAAACAATAGATGAAAAACAACATTTATATAATATTAATAGGTAATACAGATGTTAATCAAAAGTAGAAAAGTCGCTTTGTTGTACAGCTGGTTTCGAGCGCATATATCATGTCAGTATTCTTAGAGATTTGCCACGTGTAATTGATGACTTTATGTTAACTTATTGAATTCAATGATTAATCATCGCATACAAAAAGCGATTCTGTGCGGAAATGGTGTGTTAGTGGTCAGTAGGTACTCAAAACTTAGATTGATATTCTATGATTTATTTGTAATATTATTAGTAATTATTTTTTTCATGCGTAAAATATGGTATGTTGAATTAATTTTAAATTATATTATGTAGCATATATAATTGTTATTCGTTTGTGGGTGTAAGTCAAGCATATTATTATTTTAATTTAATTATTCTGTTTTTGTAAGATCCAGTACATATTTTTATAATATGCTACTCTAGCAATACATACGTCTAAGATTATATTTTTTAAAATATAAATTTAACATTCAATACACACCTGTAAACATATGGCCCGACTTCTTGAAACCGTAGTTTTTCGTCTCTCCCAGACAAGAAATCTTCACGGTTTGTTACGTTGAATATGTATACCTTTAGGTAAACGGCTGCTTCTGGTGTTTTCCACATCTCGAACGTCTCGTCACCTTCGACCATTACGAGTTTCTGAAAATGATAATTTCAAAATAACATACAATTTTCCAAAGTTCTTTACTAAATAATCATTTTATAATGACAGTTAATTAGCAATCGGATTGTAACAAATTGATGAATTTGTCAAAAGTCGATTTTACTCTTGATTCCTACAGAGAAAAAAGGTTAGGTACTATGCGGTCCGGATAGTTAATGGAATGCTCGTCGCCGGAAAGAAAACAATATTCAGATTTCATGGTTAACATTATCGAAGGTCGAAAAATATTACATACGTAACGAAACGATATTATGTACTATCCTAACGAATAATCGAAGAAGTCGATGATTCAGACGAGTAAATACCTATTTATATATGTATATATATTTTGTATTTCCGTTAAGACATTCCAATTTTTCGTAATCGGTAATTAAATTATTATTTATGAAATTAAAATATGTACATTTTAATGGCGCATTATTAAAGGGTGCAATTATCAAATGTTATCTTTTTCCTATTGGCTAAGATGAAATATCGTACCGCAACGAACGTCATGTTACATAATAAATTCAATTCCGGAAAACCTCAACTTCTTTGTCACCATAATAGTATATTTTGAACTAAGAACGGATTCATTATATTTAGCGTTTAATTTACTATGTGATCAAAATACACTATCTAAAATATGTATGTTAATTTAAAGTAATAATTATTCCGTGTATACTTTACACTTTTTTCGTATATTTAATCATACAATCTGTAATTATAGTAGTACAAAGTAGAGCTGGAAATTGATTTTAAATATCGATAAAAATCGTTAAACACCATCAAAGAAATCAAAAGTGGTATAAAAATCAAATATATTTTTTTAATGATATTCAAAATTTATATTGAAATTGAAAAAAAATTAATTCATTAACATATATTAAAATAATAATCGTTATATAATAAAATGAAAATCGATATAAAATTAAAAATTATTTAAATATAAAATTCAACCATATCTAATAGGGTTATAATGTTGTTCATATGTAGGTATAATGATAAATAACTAATATTTCGTTTTCTCGGGCATGTTACACAGTCTCGAGAACAATGAAAAAACCATAAATAACTATATCAAACTCATGCAAATATTGTAAAATATAAAAATCATAAAATTATAGTATTCATATGTTATTTTAAATTTCAATCAGAAAAAAAACAAATATCGATATATGAAATTGAAATTGAAGTCAAAAATATTAATTTTGATTTCAGGCCCTGACAATAAATACTAATAATAATAAAAGGACATGGTCATTTGTTGACAAAACCATCCAGTGACAGCACATTGGTCGATATTCTACTGTAAAAATTAAAAGGCAAACGTTTGGTTGTTTATAAATGTAATAACTCTTTTCAGGTCATCAGAGTAGGCACTCTACACTAGGAAATGTAATATTTTAGGTTTATAACAACACAAAATGTTCAGTATACAATAGTGTAAAGTTATAAATGTGTAATAGACAATTATGAATATTTTAATCACGCGGAAACAAGACAATCATTATTATTTTTATTATTTTTATTACTGTACTGATAGAAAAAAAATCAATTATATGCACATCTAGGTGCGATGGTGAAATGATCAATCTATTCTCTCTCGACGTAAATTATGTAAATATAAGACGTTTCAGGTTTACGGTCTGCAGTAGATTTACCTACGTCATAGGCTCATAGTAATTAAATTGTATAACTGAAAACGGGTTACTACTTACTAATGGTATGTAGGTTTACTTCAAACCACTATACAGTGGCGGAATAGTGTTATTATATTTTATTATTATAGGACGGCACATTTATACTGCTGGGTTTATGATATTTTTACTATATGACCCGAATCGTTTCCTGTAGTCATCAGAACAAATTGCCGAATAATAAGTACCTATCTCCTCATGTAATTTGCAAAATCTCAACAACAACTACCTTAAAAAAAATAAAAAGGTTATCATTATTTTATTTTTATTCACTTCGTACCACTTGAGATAAATTGCTTTATATACCTATATTATGATGCGATTCACCGGACAACGCATCGGGATAACCCCGGCGAATAAGTGACTGGAGAACTGGTATTGCCTACACAATTCGCGGTCGCGGTCATCGCGGTTATCCTCGCGGGTACCGCAAGAAATATTTTAAGAAAAAAAAAACACGTTTGACTCAACGCGACCGCAGAGGTATCTATTTATTATTTAACTATTTCAACGGCGGCTGAGGTAATAAGTGGTTTTTTTTTAACTATTCATACGGCTAGCTGCATATAGATGGATTTCAGATTGGCCGAATGAAATGCATTCTTTGAACCTGAATATTACCTATAATCTATACGCCTCTATATATAAATATATGCCTCACGTGCACCCACGGGGATCATTAAACTATGTATAATTTAATATATTGGATTTGGAGAATTAGTAATGACCTTAGCAAATCGCCAAGACGCGTTTGACTCCAGCTGGCGATTGTGTCTGAAATTCTGAACAAGTTTGCTGCAGTTTGGGTACGTCTGATTATTTGATACAACGTCGAAAATGTTTGGAATGTTCGGATATCAATGTAACAATATATTAGATCACATACCACAAGTGTATAACACAAGTGGGCACCATAAAGACGATAGTCACAAAAAAATATATTAATCCACAGTGTTCAAGAATGATCCATTCTAGTTTGTCCTTTAATGCCTGATACAATTCATTAAGAAATACAAATTTTTGGACTATTGTTTGTATACATAAGCACCATGTTAAATCATTTATATTTTGTACACCATTTAAAGAGTAGGTATCCAATTTTGATATAAACTTTTTTTTTTTTATAGGAGAACCAACCTTTTTTACTGTAAATAGGTAGTAAACAGATAATTTTTAAAGAGTATTTACCTAGTTTTTGAGTTATTATAATCTGCAGTATATCTACTAAAGATAATGTCCTTAAAAATGGGTTTACAAAAATATATTAAATCGGTGTATGTAATATTGGGTACTGGGATCGTACCAATAATACTAAAACAATTTTTATGGACTATAAATTAATGTTGATTGGTAAATTATTATTGCTCACTAAAATTCTCAAATCGTCATTGCCCTCGTATCTTTCATCGTGAATATTATCCTTGGTACACAAAGTTAAGTAACTCAAAATCTACTTGTTCAAATTTTGATTTAAATATATTAAATATTTACATAAAAAAAATAAAAAATCTATCTGATTAACAATTTATTGAGGGGAAAGGATAACTCTCATTTGAATAGAAGAAAACGATAACTCTACTCCTTAAACAGACGATATTTGAAATCAGAATTTAAATAAATTCATTAGGTATTAATAGATGAAATTAGACACAGTATGTTAAAGTTTTGGTCATCAGGGCTCGCGGAGTGATGTAACACTAAAAAACCGTTAAAATGTTTAAATGGCCCCAAAAATATGAATAGGTAAAATATTTAATATTACTCAAATCAATACACTTTTTTTAGAAAAAATGTTCTAATCCTCCACAAATTCAAAATAAAGTACTCAAATGTATAGTAAATAATTTATTAAAAATTAATATGGAAGAAAATATTCCAAAGAAAAAATTTTTTTTTTAAATTTTAATATTTTTATTTGTACCTTGTACACTGACAGTGAAAATATTACTACTACCAAAGTTCGAAACATAATATCCACTCACTGAAGTCGCATACATACACAGATTTAAACACATTTTATGTAATTAATCATTGGTAGGTCATTGTGCATCGGGCAAATTAAATAACATTTTTTTTTTCATACTGGGATGAATGATTTAGTATGTTTGATAGATGTAAATGAGTATTAAAATGTGTGACAATACTGTAATCGTTTTTCTTAAAATTGTACAATCCTAAAATACATAAAACAATAATATCATATTATACTAGCTGATCCCGTGCACTTCGTTGCCCGTTAAAAATGTCATCTCTGCATAAGAGACTTGATTGTGATAATGCGAGCAGTATATTATCAGGTAGGCAATCGTTGTTTAGCCATATAAATTATTTTGAATGAATATTTTTTGTAAAACAACTTAAAAATCCAAAATTATTGTGAGTGTTTGGGGATGTTGTATACTGGCACATAATTGAAAGAGATATATGGAGCACTGAGAACGACTACGGCCTATAAAAATAACAAAATAACCAAATATTCATTTTTTTCCTATTCCTCGCCACCTATAAAGTATATATGTAAAAATGTTTGTGTTTCATTTGGCATCGATTAGGCTGCCCTCAAATCCACTTTGTGTTAAACTTGGACTTTAATTTTGACTGTTGAATTAAATTGTTGATCATTTGTTTAAATGATGACACCTTAACTAATTCGGCCACCGCTGGTGTTAGAATTATGGGAGCGTAATAACATTGTTAAGCACATGTAGTAAATCCACGTTGAAATTTTAATTATAATAATATTATTTTTAATTTTTATGTCAGTATTATTATACATAGATGGATAATTTTTAATTTGTTTTTTTACTATGGCAACAAAAAATTTAAACAATATTGGCATTTACTTTTTCTAATAATAATTAGATTAATTAAACATTCATGTTATAAGAAATGCAGGTATTAAATAAATGATTGCTAATTAGTAAAATAAAATAAAATTGTACACACGCAGTTTTTCTGGTAACGCCAACAACGGAAAATTTCATATAGTAAAAACCTAAATTTTATCTCTACTATTCACTATTGCGTTCTATGTAAAGAGAGTATTTAGAGAGGATATTTACGACTATAAATAAAATCGAACTGAATAAAAACGATACGAAAATTATCAATTTACAAAATTAAAACTTTACTTTATATAGTGAAACATAATATTATTATTACCTAATATTCAATACATGACATACTTCTCCATGTTAATTAATTTTTTTGGTGTTGGCTGGGCCGCTGGGGGCCTCATTTTAACGATTAATTATGTCGTATGGACAATTTTATAAGCTAAAGCTTGCTGTAGCTTTTTCAATTCGAAAAAACATTCCGGAATACAAAAAATAAATCATCAAAAAAATTTTTGAAAAAAAGAAATTTTTCCAAATTCTTTTTTTCGTAAAAACCTTCTGACAATTACGAAAAATTAAAAAAAATTTGAGCCAAATCGGCCCAGTCGTTCTCAATTGATGAATTGTTATACATTTTTGGCTCTATTTATATATATATATATAGATTATAACGACTGTCACCAAATGATTTCCTTTACTTACCCATTTGAGTATTAATTGAAATGGATCAAACACGGCGATTAGTGTACCCAGAACGAGCGCGGAAAAGCCAATTAGCATCAACGATATCAAACCTGGAAACAAATTAAACGAATTTATTATTAATGTAATTCTGTGACATAATATTATAATAATATAAGTGGTATTACCTATAATATTATGTATATTTCATACTAGGTACTTGTAACACATGCAAATTTTAAATAGCTATAAGTTAAAACTATGACGACAACACAATATTCAAATCAACGTTGAAAGCAATACTACCGATATTATTATGGCTGTTGAAAATAAAAATATTAATATTGAAAATTACTGATCAGGTAACAGGTGTTATTCGTCCCTAAAATTGATGCATAAGCCGACTTTGTAGTCTGACTTAAATATTAAACATTTATTTACAAGCGACCATAGATTGAGTACGTTTACTAAATCAACTTACAACTTATTTTGCCACATTTGTAAAACTAGTTACAGATTATGAAAATACATTTTTCGTTCTTAAAATGTCTATGGAAAACTACAACTCCGTTCGTTGTCCCTAGTTGTTTATCATTTGGTTTTCCAGCCCACAGGGATGGGTTGAAATTTTAGTTATATCAAAATATATATTATGCAAAAACATAATCAGAGAAGTCATGTGGAGCAATGGCTATTCAATTTTTAAAATAACATGTTATTCCTATTTCTTCTGGTCGCAAATAAGGCAAACCATATATTATAAATCGTATTATTAAGTCCACCTTGAGTAAAATGGGATTGACCGTTTAATACATAGGTGTGTATAGTAATTATATGGAATTATTATGATATTGATTAGATTTATTTAAACATAACTAGGACTGTCACAATAGTAGTTATAAAAATACGGTGTATCGGTGTACCTTATATACTTTATAGGTAAAACAAGAAAAAGCCTTTTCAACCGCATTATTTTTTAATAATAACGAATAATGGTAAAATATAATATATACATAGGAATAGCCAAATAGGTAACACGGGGTCCGCTCATCTCTCTGAAATGGCATTTTCCTGTACCTACTACAGAGCGGCCAACCATGTGAGAGACCAATGAGATGTCAATTTTATATCATTATTAAAACCAACGATCTGCAGTTGGCTGGGTGGAAGCAATGCGAAAGCAATACCCAAGAGGTCTCACGGTTGAATAGAAGAAAAAAAAGTAAGTCGTAAGCAGTAATTACTATGAATTCGATAACATTTACTAAGATATAACTATATAGAACCGTTATGGTAGGTAGTAGTTATAACGGTTATACTGTGTATCGGTGTATACTGTGCAGGTACAACAAGAAAAAGCCAGCTTTTTCAACAGCATTATTTTTTAACAACAACAAATTATTGTGAAACGATTATAGGTACTTGTGCCTGTAGTTATCTAGGCTAGGTACACACCTATAATATTAGTACCTAATAGTGAACATAGCTATAATCAAAAATTGATTTATTTAAGTCTTTGGAATATATAATAACTATATTAAAACATCTATACACATAAAATATTTTAGTACCTACGTATACCTATTACCTAGTACCTAAAACTATAGTATTTCGGATCATAATCGTCATAATATTATACTGTTATATGACGCTGACAGTCGTTATTGTAGGACTTGTTGGATACCGTATACAATAATAATATTTTATTTGCCTCGGTATCTATAATAGTATAAGTCGACACTCGACTGTAAAATTGTGTAAATTTTTTCCCCAAATGGACATCGGAGAATTTAACGAGCGTAAAAAATAATTCCCACTTACAACAAAATCGCATTCGAATGACCAACGGATCGGTAGATACCTGCATCCATCAGCGCGTGTCATTACATAGGTAGGTTAAACGTTGTGGCGCAAGTGGCGAACACACAATATAAAAATACAGTCGTCATCGTACATCAAAATTTATACAAAACGGCAGAGAAACAATGTTAAATATTGTGTTTATAGGTACTTGCACAGTCTTACATCCATAATGACAAAGCCGGACACAGACGCGCCTGCGGACTTGCAGCTGATCAGATTTGAGAAAATGTTCCACATGATAATATATTGTAAATTTATAAAAAGTTTTAAATTTCCGAACGGCTTTTAATTTTAAGAACAATTATTCAGGTGATATAGATGACAACATTATTAACAGAGAAAATAAAAACCATAAGTTTATCCTAACCTACTGATGAAACTGCATTGCTGTCTGACATAGCTTTTTGTAAAAGCAACATTTTTCAAACATTTGATTTACCCAAGAGCCCAGAGATGAATAAAAAGTACCCGGATGCTGAGTCATAATATTCTAAAAGACGAGGGGCACCTATAAGGCTATCTCAACAGTCCGAATATTGAGAAAAAGTCAATAAAGTTCTAACTACCTCATTGCTTTAAAGAAACTCGCAGTGTACCGGGTTCGTGGTCATGATGATGGCAGGCGATATTTAGGATAATCCCACGGTAAACCCGCAAAGCCGGCGAGGAATCTTTTCTGGACGACTGAATTACAATATAATATTATCACCCAAATATGGCGGTCACTGTGCGTAGGGAGACCAAATGGTCGTCCCATATCCTCATATAGAACGAACTTGCGCGTTGATACGGTCGGTGAGGTATGAATCAGCATGGACATTTTCCGCATAAAATAGTGATGTATGTGATGCGAGTTGTGTCGCAGAAAAATTACGCAATCAGAAATAAAATAATATAGACGTATGTGTAGTTACTGTACAGGTACATAATATACTGTTAGCCTGTGGAGTATACCTACCTTTGTGGGGTTCGTTGTTCCGTTGACTTTACAAGCCGACTGAACCTATCATTAACGGTATCTATACGATTTTATACACGCGTATATAATGCTATTATAATGTCCCAGACATGAGCATCGAAATTTAGTGTTTTCGAGTCGCACGAGAATTATGTGGGAGGGCGTTGGACTTTTTATCTCTTCGTACGTCGTTGGTGTATAATGATAATAATATGGCAGGAGGTTCGTGAATATTCGTAAAAGCGCGATTTATGTCGACTGACTGATCCATATATGACCTCATATTGTACACACGACCCATCGGCGGCTATCCTGTACATACGAGTATATATATATAATTTATCGTTGTACGCGGCTGTCGTCTGTACTCATTTATATTTTGTCTATAGATTACTGTGGTATATTCAGAAAATAATTAAAACTACTCATTCGATAAATCTTAAATTTGACGTGATTTTGAAAATAAACCGACTGTGGTGGACCTCGTTTACCTAATGCGGAGGCAACTGAACTATAGACTACTAGAGCCCACATATTGTATGCTCATTTTTAATAGGCTCATCATATTTTATGTCCAGTTCCTCTATTTTAATCATAGAACAAACCTAGTTGGCATTAGGCAAGTGCCATTGGATTTTTATATACTTTCAAACTATTTTAAAGTACCTAGGTATACTATCAACAGTCCACACACATGGACTTTTAGTTACTTTTACCAGTGTCCCGCAGTTGTTGTAAAATAATTTTATTTGCGTAGGTACGCTTACGTAGGTATGATTTAGCGATTCTAATATTTAAATACCACAACGACCGAAATTGTTATTAATACTATTGTCCATTACGTATTATGACGATATCGCTTGACAGATCACGCAGTGTCTCAGGTCATGGAGATCGAATAACGTACGTAATTTAAAAAATACTCGAATATTTTGTTTATTTATTCATATATTTTGAATTAATGTGATCGAATATATAGCAGACCAGCTGACATCATTCTTATTATTTCATCCGGTTACCTGTACTAACCGATTGACTGGGTACCTACATACTTAGAAAAGTAGATTCTACCTAATCATAATGAGACTTTAAAAACCATTATCATAAAAAAATCGTAAATATACCACTTTTATGCTTGTACACATAGTTAAATTATATTGTATACATAATATTATTTTTAATATTCCGAATTCTTCATTATTATTTTTATTATTATCATGGGTCTTTTGTGTGTATACAACAAGGTCGTATAAAACTCGTATGCACAGGACAAGCGATGAGAAGAGATATTGAAAACTCGCGTCGCAATACCGCGGGGTCCTATAATAATAATAACCAATAAATTGGAATCAGCTATCTTCGAAAAGAAAAAAAATTATTGATTAGTTATAATACTGTACATAGCCTGCAAATTGCAATCACGACTGTCAGTAGTCACTGTATAATATACAATATTTTGTGTCCAAATGTAATTAATCTCCACTGGTCCGCAGCAGCGCACTCGATTTTGATATTTATTATTCTATAGGGTGATAAGTGATTGTGTTTGCTGATTCCCGAGATTGGGCGATATTGTGCAATTTTTAGTGTTTTTGGACAATTTTTTTTATTCGTTTTCAATTACAATCCTACTAAACACACTTACAGTTTAATTTTTAGATTGTGCCGTGTCGTATCTTGTATGTGTTGATATGTAAATAATTGTGAGCCCGCAATCGTTACCTATCAATTACCTATCAAGTTATCGTAACGTGAGTTATCTGTATTCTCAGTCATCAGTCATTGGAGGCCTCTGGCTATACAGTCCGAAGTTAGAATCTAACTTGCACGTGATTCGAAACATCAGTTTCGTACGTATTTATTATTGATAATTTATGCACTGTGTTGTTCACTGTTTTATTTTGCTTGGTATGGATCAGTATAAAGTATTAGCATCAATGGCTCGTGGTAAAAAAAAAGGAGAAATATGAATTAATGATAAATTGCTCAAGACACACAACAACACGCCAAACAGTATAAGTAGTAAATATTTAATAACTACAAACACAAATGTGAATATTTCATTTGAAAAATCAGCGCAAACTTCAATCATCATAAGTCGAAGTCGATGTAAAAATGTAGAAAAAATGTTGTATAAATCAGCGTCACTGGGCGGTATTCAATATATTAGGTAGGTAAAAATATTTTATAAATAAAACAATATTGAATTTCATATAAAAAATAGTTAAGTATATTATAGTTATTAATAATTATAAATGTACCTATCGTTGAATCGACAAACAATCAATTAAA